GGTAACAAAATGCAAAAGAAAAACCAAAGCTGATTTCAAACCAAGAGTATTAACTCTCCTATTGAAAATCAATTCAGACTCGTTTTCACCAATTTCACTAGTGAAAAGAATAGGGAAAAACTGAAAAAGAAACTGAAAACAACTGAAAAACAGGGAAACTGGTATATAAAAATAAAGGAATACAATGTCACTAAGAATGAGAACTATGAGGAATAAAAAGAAATATAGATACACAAAATAACTGAAAATTTTAAAAAGCCAAACTCAAAGAATAGTACACACATTGATCATGACTATACCACTGAAACATGTGATGACATATACACATCCATGTGTGTGCATGTGAGAGAAAGAGAGCACCCATAAACATTATTAGATTTTAGCAAAAGCGTTCACTAAGATGATATAATCTTTAAAAAGTAGATAAAAGCATTCCTCTCAAACCTAGCGTGCATTTTGCTGCAAACGCACACAACAATTGTAGGAAATGTAAGCATATGTGTATATATGAACATATACATATACATGTATGTGTATATAAAGATGAATGATTGATAAGATCAGAAGGGCTACAAAGAGAACAGCTAGTAAACTATTTATTACATATAAGTTATTCTAATATTTAAAACCCTTCTCAATCTGTCTCCAGCCTGTCTCTCTAGGCAGGCACATCACAGCCCTTCATAAATTCTACATTCTAGCCCAACTGTTCTACCTGTGATTTCCCAGGCACAACTTTCCATCTTTGCTTCTATGCCTTTGCACAAGTCTTTCCCACCCGAGAATAAACTCCCTCCTGACATCCATCTCGTTGAATCCCCAGATTCCTTCAAGCTACAGTTCATGTTCCATCTACTAATGAAAAGACTTTCTTCATCTCCTTAATTATTAGAGCTCAATGCCTCCTCCTCAAATGAAAATGTATATATTTATCACTTTACATGCTATAATCCTCCAGTAGAATATACATTTTCCACTTTTTCTTCAGATCCCCAGTGCCTAGTACACCACTTTGCACAAACTAGGCATTTAAGATATGCTTGATGGATTAGCTATTTGTATGTAAAAGTATTTTCCTTGTAAAAATTCATACTTTTGTAATATAAAGTTCATGATAAAAATTATTTTACGTATTAAAAAAAAATCAGTTCAAAAGCTTAAACTTAATCAAAAAGCCCTCCATTCAAGTTGTAAACTGATCCAACCATTCTGGAGAGCAATTTGGAACTGTGCCCAAAGGGCAATCAAACTGTAAATACCCTGTGATCCAGCTATACCACTACTAGGTCTGTATCCCAAAGAGATTTTAAAAAAAAGGAAAAGGACCTATTTTTACAAAAATAATTCTAGCAATTCTTTTTGTTGTGGCAAAAAATTAGAAATTGAGGGGATGCTCATCAGTTGGGGAATGGCTAAACAAAGTTGCGGTATATGATTGTGATGGAATGCTATTGTGTCATAAGAAATGATGAACAGACTGATTTCAGAAAATCTGGAAAGACTTACACAAACTGATACAAAGAGAAGTAAACAGAACCAGGAGAACACAGCACACAGTAACAGCAATACTGCACAATGATCAACTATGAATGAGAACTACTCTCTGCAATACAATGATCCAAGACTATTCCAAAAGACTCATGATAAAAAAAATGCTATCCACCTTCAGAAAAAGAACTGATGGAGTCTGAATGAAGATCAGAGAATACTATTTTTCACTTTCTTTTTTTGTGGTTTTTGCCTTTGGTCTGTTTCTTCTTTCACAGCATGACTAATATGGAAATATGTTTTACATGACTGCACACATATAACCTATGCCAAACTGCTTACCATCTTAGGGAGGGGGGAGATGAAGGAAGGAGGGAAAAAAATTGGAACTTAATTTTTTTTTACATGAATGTTAATTGTCTTTACATGTAATTAGGAAAATTTTTTTAAATAATTTTCTTAATTTAAAAAAAAAGGCCCTCCATTGGCATCATTCACATGAACTCAACCAACAATATATTGACAAAGAGATATAGAACAAATGGCTGAGTAATGTAGATTTGTTTACAGAAGACAGAGACATTGATAATAGCTATTCAGGATCAGGTTATTATGCCCAGAAATTACAAAAAGGTTATCCTTTAAAACTTGAGACTTATTAGCTGATGTAGATTATGCAATGAAGTGGTAGAAACTGGAATATATAATTGCAGATAATAAAAATTTAGCATCGATTACATACTTAGAAAGACATAATCAAGTGGCTAGAATTATATAACAGAAGTTCACTATCCTTTTATAAATGAACAGAAAACAAATTTCCATACTATAAACAAAAACCTCAAAATGCTCTTGAGAATTTAGCAAATAAATTGTATTGGAAGTAGAGTACCATTAAAGATATAACCATTACAGTCCCAAACCACTCAGATGAAATAATAAGCCATAAAAACATAAGAATATCTCTAATGGATATCACTATACCAAATTCTCAATCTCCAAAAACTATGGAATGAAAAACTTCCAAAATATAGAGACCCAGAAGAATGAAAATCAAATGGGACAAGATGCATGTTTCCTGTCACCTACTCAAGTTATCACAAACATGAGTCTAGAGAAAATGGAGTTAGATCCCAATACTCTTATTGCTTCCCAAAAAACAGTCATGTTATGCAACTAAACAATGGTTCTCAGAACAGTAAACTATAGAAATAACAGCTGGATAGCAACTTCTCCTCAGACTGTATCTATCTAAACCCCATCAAAAACAGGTAAGAACAAGCTAACAGTGGTTATAATACTATATAATATGTGTACATTTGTGCTTGTATGTGTGTACTATATAATGAAAGAGCCAACATTTGTAACAATAATAACAGCTATCACTTTTGAGGTTTGCATGATGCTTTACACACATACATACATCAGATGAGATACATAATGTCATCTGATCCTCACAACTCTTTGAAATAAATGCTATTATTATTCCCACTTACAGAGCAGGAAGCTGAGGTTCCTTGAGGTTACTTGCCCAAGGTCACACAGCTAATATGTGTCTGAGGCAAAACTTTAAAATGGGTCCTTCTTGATAAAATCCAACATTCTGTCCACTATACTATTCTGCCTCTCTAACCTCTACACAATATCATACATAACAGTCACAAATAATGTTCAGTAGCCATGCCTGACAAATACAGAACTGTAGCTAACTGGGTAACCATCTGGGTGTCCAGAAGAGAGAGAAGGTACAGTTTTGATCCTGTCTGTCTGCTGAAATAGGCATTTATAAACAATTAGTAATTTTCCCTTCAATACATGCTAATTTTCCCCAAGCTATTAATGCCTGACCAGCTCTGTCCTGCCATTACTAATTCTTAAATATTTCAACATAAGTAGAATAATTCTACACTACTCAAAAAACACTGTTGATTTCTGAACAGGTCTTGAACAGATGGCAACTCAGAAGAGTCTTGTTCCAATTATGGCAACTTTAGCAATACGCTCATCTGCTGCTACCTGAAACACCAATACCTCCCACCTTTACTCAAAAAGCTTCTAATCACAACTAGACTTTTATATAACTCCTGGTCCTCATTCCTTAAATGATAAGTAAAAAATGAATTTCATTATAACTCTACTAATTAAAACAAGCAGGAATCAAAACAAATACTAATGTGAGCGCAGGAAAACTGTAGTTTAATCACAGTGCTACTATACGCTGTGTTTTCTGCATAGTTATGCTAGGATATGACACAGTTTTGCTCCATATGTATGTGGGATCAGAAATATCTTATTACACTGATCCTGGAGGAACTTAAAAATGTTAGGAGTTTAATCTCAAAGACATCAAAACATTATGAGAAATTTATTTAATTTGAATTTTTTTTCCTGGTTTTACATACATACACCTATATTCTTTGAATTTTCTTCTTAAATAATCAAAGGCTAAGACTATAACACAAAACAACATATAAATCAGAAAACAGTAAGTTTATGTGCAGACTGAGTGAGAAAGACAGGGAGACTATGACTTATTCAATTTATCAGATTTATAGACAAAATGTCCCCTTAGGACTTTCTGGACACTTCTTCCTTTGTTGTTTTCCTGATAACATCACTCTGCCTTGGCAACTCAGCCTATCATGATATATTATTTGATGTGTTAAGTCTAAGTTTACATTAAGAAAGAGCAGGCTTAAAATTAGAGCAACCTTAATAGGAAAACTACAAAACAGGAAGCAATAAACTCAGAGAAACACATTCTAGTCAACAATGTTGCCTTCTGACCACCAAGAAAAAACCTGAAGCTTGCTGATTTTCATGTAAGTCCATTAAGTGATTCATTACATTGGTAGTGAAAAGGCAACAGAGATTTTTAAGAATCTAGACAGAGAAAAAAGAGCAGGGCTCCTATTTACCTAACCTGAAAAATGTCCCCAAGTTACTTATGAATTGTCAATAGACATCTGCCAATGAATTTTAAAGTTTGTGTTTATTTATATGTAGCTCCCAGGGAGAGAAGTTTCAATAAAATCTTCTAATTCTCTACAATGGTGAAGATGATTCCTATATTAACTACTTCACAGAAACTGCTCTCTTACAGGCTTATAAATATCCAGAAAACCATGGCCAACATTTTATTTTCTTTTTTGTCTTAACCCTTCTACTATACTCAACACAATGTACCACTCTCTTCTCTAAACACATAACTTGGTTTCCTAGGTACCTTGCCACCCTGTTTGGGCTCTTAGCAATTTGTCTCTTGATCTTAACAATTCTTTTTTCCTATCTTTACAAAGAGTAGGGAGTTACCCTGTGTCTGTGCTGGATTTCATCATCTGTTTGCGATTTAAAGTACAATACCTCTATATGAATGATTCGCAAGTTCAATCCTTCTAACTCTTCCCACAATTCATTCTAGCAAAAACATCTAAAAATAGTTACTATAATGCAAGAAATACCACCCAGTATGGAACCTAGTACAAATATTTATTGAATTTGAATATACTTACCATTTCTCAGTATCAGCTCAGAAAGAGATACAGATAAATGGAGTGAATGGCAGTGGGGCAGTCTAGTATTCCCAGTCCAATATTCTACTAGACTTAACTGCCTCTGCAAAAAACACAAATCAAAAACATATAAATTATCCATCAGATACCAAAAAAGTTGGCAGATAAAAAATGAAAGCACAGTGTTCTACAAAAGTAAATATCAGCACAGTTCTGATGACTGTTGAATTTCAGAAGAGAACAGAAGCAGCAATCACTTCCTCGTGAGTAGGGAGACTATCTTCATTATACTTCTATTTCATAATTATAATGCTGTTTTGACTAACGGGAGCAAAGCAATATTTGAGAAATGTTCTTTCTCCTGTCTTAAAAGCCTCTATTTGTATATAGAATATTATATATAATTTTTAAAAGTTTAAATGAATGAATGGTTGACAGTAAATCTCCCAAGGACAAACATTTCAAAAATACAATCGAGAAACTGAAAAGTCAAAAAAAACCTACAAGTCTGAAAATGCAGCCAAAAAAAAAGGAGGGGAAAAAGAGGGGGGACCAAATTTGGCTAACAAAACTTATGCCATCAATAAAACTCAGTAACTAATGAGTCAAAACCAAAATGGCTAATGAGGATGGCTTGAGAGTCCTATAGATAAAATATTCGATAAGATATTCAAAGAAGTCCTGGGGCTTATTATTAATGGTATACCAATCTACTCTATATCTTCCCTCCCTGTATCTATGATCAATTAAGGTGGAAATGGAACAATTAATACAGTTATAATCAGTTATATTCATTTTCCTCCCTACTCTTCCCACTTAGTTCCACTCATCATCGGTTTCCTCTTAAAATAAGGTAAGAACTATGCAAAGAAGAAGCAGAGATAAAACTTTCAAATTCACATGAATGGAAAAATAAGTATTAGTTTTTTAAAGAGAGATATAGCACACTTCTGAGGGAAAGGGTCAAGATACTGGTCTTCCCCCAATTCAAAGCTGCAGAAGATAAGAAGGAGATTTTCTAGGTTTATATGTTAGCTCTTCTTTGTCATCTAGGAACATAAAAGGCTTCTTCACAGCAAAAATCACCATAAGTGTATCTGTCTCTTTCCCTGGCTTAAAAACAGTGGCAACAATGTAACAAAACTTTTAACTCCTGTCTGGGGAAGAAGAAAAATGTAACAGTGGTTGGACAGGTAAGACACCTTAGGGAATAAGGATCCACATACAGTGGAAAGGGAACTGACAGCTTGGAAAATTATAATAGTATTTTTTGCATATACATAGTATGTTTCATGTTTTAAAATATTTCCACTATAGGAGTCTCTATCTTTATGTGCCATGTTTCTATTAAGACCAATGACTAAGTTAGCCTTTATAGAACCTGTTACTATTTGTGGCTTTGCCTCTGTTTTAAAGTCTACCTAGCATTTCAAAAAAAGGCAAACCCATTTTTAACTTTTACATGCTTAGTTAATCAATATGCGACTTTGTTTCTCCACATTTCACATCAATGGCATAATGTCTACAGTTAAGTCCATTTTCCAGTTAAGCCCATGTACAGTAAACTCCATTTTCTATCAGCAGCTCTGCTTGGCTTCAACTCTGGGTAACACTATGCCCCTGTACCAGGTATTCCTTCAGGTGCCCCCCTCCTCTTCTTAGCTTCCTTTTGTATGTTCTCTTCCCCCCACTGCATTGTAAACTCCTCAAGGGAAGGGAATATCTCTTTTTCTTATCTGTATCCTCAGCACTCAGCACAGAGCCTGACATATAGCAGATATAAATAGTTGCTTACCAAATTAAATTTAACTGAAATTAAGTCCTTAAAATACTTTTCAAGTCAATAAGCATTTATTAAGGACATTGGGGATATAAAGATAAAAAACTATGTAGTCCCTGCCTCAAGGTACTTAAATCTATGTAGGGCATAAGACTTATATACAAATAATTATGATATAAAATAGAATGAAATAAGTACATAAAAGAGGTCAAACAGAAAGGGATAATGTATTAGGGAGAAAAGGATCACTTCTAGCTGGGGACCAGAGAAGACTTCATGTGGTACCTAAGATAGAAAAAAAGAGTAGGCTTTCAACAATCAGAGACCTGGAGAGTCTGTTCCAAGAATTAGGGAAGATATGCACAAATGCATTGAGAGAAGACAGCACAGAATAAAAATGGAAAATGATAACTGACTGACTGGTCAGACTGTGCAGTGCACTGGATATCAGGAGAAGCAATTTATATTGTAACCCAGGGGCAACAGGAAGCCACTGAATCAATTTGAGCAGGGTAGTAGCATTAAATCTGCATACTAAGGCAGATTACTTTGGTAATAGTGTGAAATACGCATCTTCACAAAGAAGGAAGGCCCAGAAAATATTTTCCATAGGAAAAGTAAGGAGCACCTTAATTAGAATAGTGGTAGTGGGAATGCATAGTGGGAGGGCATAGATGAATAGATACTGTGAAGGTCAAAATAAAATGGCTGGAAATAATAACTGGCTGGAAAAAGAAGATGCTCAGAAGGTTTTAAGCCTATTTAACTAGGAGGTATAATCAACAATAATATAGAAGTTAGGAGGAAGGGCAAGTTCAAAGTGGGCAAAGAGCAATGAATGAATGACCATTTATTAAGCGTATTGTGCAAAGTACTGTGATAAACACTGGGGACACAAAAAGAAAAGACAGTCCCTGCTCTCAGGAAGCTCACATTCAGCACAGATAGAAGGTTTCATTTTTAAGACAGATGAAAGTTCCTGTGGTGCTTAGAATGCAGTGGCAGAGTAGATGGTAATGCCTCTTCTTTAATATCATTTCCACCGATGAGAGCATATAAATTTCTGATGCTGAACCATTGGACAGTGGCAAGGCCTTTGGTGGCAAGAACTTTCTTGCCTGCATCTTCAGTGGGAAGCTATAAGATATACAGAAGCAATTGCCAGACTGCTTCTCCACAGGGGCTATTTCCCTAGATTAGGGCTGGAAGCATAGCTATTCCTAAACCTCTTGGCTTCAGTGTCCTAGGTTATTTCCACCAGGGTCTCAGGGGAAATGGTGGTTTGGGTGGTAATGGTACAACTTGCCTACACATGTTGCCTGCTATCCGTCCCTCAAAAAGTTGCCTCCTACTTCAGCTAGGCTGGCTGAACCATTCTCCACAGGAATTGCTTTCCTGGATGATGTCTGTGAGGGCCAGACTAGAAGCAAAATTGATGGCCTGGGAGAGAATGCCAGTCCCATTCCTCATGAGCCCGACTGCCATGGCAGTTAGTCGGCAGTTGTCATTGGTGGTGATGAGAAAGGTGGGCCCCCTCTCCACACTCAGTTCTCCTCCCAATAATAGCTTTTGGGGCTGGTCTGAAAGCAGGTCTGGTGTTTTAGAGGGTCCTGCTATTCCCAATTCCTGCTGTTAGAATCAGGGTCCTGGGCTGTCTCCATCAGGGTCCAATGAGAAATGATGGTCAAAGTAGTAATAGTGGTTTGACTTGTCTGGCACATGCTGCCTCCTGACTGACTCTCCCTCAGGGTGCCTTGCTGAGATAATGATAATGATAATTCACTTAATGAAATAATGACTTCACTTTTGGATTTCTTACACTTAAGGTCTCAAAAGGGAATCTAGACAGAAATATCCACAGCAAGCAATTAACACAGGAACTAAGAGTTTGGGGTGATAGTTACAGATTTGAAACTCAAATGTAGATAGGTGATAAATAAAGCCATTAAAGTGCCTGAGATCACCAAGGGAGAATGTAGAGAGAGAACAGAGGGGGACTGGGTCCTGGAAGATGCCCAAATTTTGGATATGTAAAGAGGAATTGAAAAAGATGTCTGAAAAGTATCCATCAGATAAGTAGGAAAACCAGAATTGGGCTGTGTGTAAGCCGAGGAAGAAGAAAAAAAAACAAACCTCAAATGCAGCAGAAAGTTCAAAGATACTGAGAACTTTAAAGACCACTGGATTTGGTGACCACGGAAAGAGTAGTTTCAGTAGAGTAACGGAAACAGAAGCCAGACTGCAATGAGTTAAAAAGTGAGTTAGTTACAAGTAAATATTAATGACTCTCCCTAGAAGTTCAGCAATTAAGGAGAAAAGAGAGAAGACAGAAGCAAAGACAAGAGAAGGGAATTTTTTTGGGGGGATAGAGGAAACCTGAGTGTGTTAATAGGGAAAGGAGAAGGGACTCATTAAGAAGGAGACTGAAAATGTATGAAAGAGATGAACTGTGGAGCAAGATCCTAGAGGAGACAATGGAATGATTAGCGTTGGCAAGACTACCTCATCCTCTAAGATAGGAGGGAGGGAAGAAAAGATTCATTAGGGCAGAAAAGGACTAAACAAGTAGAAAAAGAGGGTTCAAGAAGCTCACAAATAGCCTCAATCTTTCCAGGAACTACCAGGTGACAAAAGGCAGTGAGGAGGGAGATGGTTTGGAACAGCTACTCTGGGAAGTGATAAGGAGTCAGGCGTCAGGGGTCAATACATTAAAATTAATTTTCTGTTCATGCCACATGAAATGAGAACCACTTCATTTCATGATACATTCTATCATTATCCAACCCCCACAAATGTTCAGGCTAGAGGAAACAGCACTATCTCACCTTGTGGGTCTACACTATTTTTGTTCAATCACTAATGTTTAAAATGACCTTTTGTGCTCCAAAATTCAATTCAACCCAGTTTAATCCTTTCTTTCTAGAGGAATACAAAAAAGTAAAACCTAATCATTTAGGTGTTTCCCTAAAGTATTCATGAAGGAAACTAGAAGCAGGTAACATCGGGGTCAGCTGAATGAGAAAGTATGACAGAATACTCTGGACTTCTCTAAAACTGTATTCAGGGCTCAGTCACAGCCAGAACACTTCTCGTAGTATTTTCCACTTCCAACTGTGGTCCCTCACCAAAGCCAAGTTCTTTATGTAAGCTCTTGATCTCATTTACTCTCATCTTCTCCACCAGACTTCCCCTTCAGATCATTACACTTTTTCCCACTGTCTAATCTTCAGCATCTCCCTACCTACTTTCCCTACTTCCTTCAAGATGCTCAAGTCTCTCCCATCATTAAAACTTTTACCAGGATGTACTTCCCTTCCTAAACC